TAAGATGCGACAAGCAAAGAGCAACGTCCAGACTCAAAAGATTGGCCAAATGCTCGCGGCGTTGGGCGTTAGTGACATTGTCAGCATACCAACGAGCAAGGTCGGCGAAGTCTTTGAGAATCTCGTCTCGAAAGTCAGTAAACTACTCGACGTACGTAAGGTCCGAGAGAAGGAGGAGGGAGAGTGCAAGGTCTTGCTAGCCATGAAGGCTCGACGAGACGGTGGTGGTGAAGGAGGCGAAGGACAACCAAAACAAGAAGTCCCTGAATCACAACAACAGACACCTGGCGGAGATGATGATGCCGACGGGGAGAACGACGACGAGGAAGACGAAGATGACGTTAATAAAAACTACGGCGATGATGCCGAAGCCGATAGGGACGACCGCGAAGATAACAACGACGCTGATAACCCCGACGATGATGCCGAAGGCGAGGAAGACGAGGGTGGATTCAACGGCGAAGACGACGATGGCGACGTGGATGCAGAAGGCGAAGATGAGAGTAGTAAACAGCAGTCTCGAGCGACGAGTCAAGGCGCACCGGGACAAAGCCATAAGAGGAGCGCCAGTGTCTTCTCTCAAGGCAGTGAAGTCAGCAGCAAACGGGCGAGGAAATGAGGGGGCTGGCTTTGACTTGGAGTGTGGTTTCTACTTTTGACTTCTGCTTTTGATAGCATAGCGATGGCGTTGGGATTGGATTGACAAGAAGGGAAAACATTCGTCATTGGGAAAATGATACGGATATGGATATGGATAGGGGACTGGAATAGCCCTGTTGGTATTGTTAGCTACGATGCATCACTATCCACACTGCATAGCGCAGGAATGTACAACATCATCCTACCTCATGCAACTAGCTATATCTTCGCCTTGACCTCATCCTGTTCCAGTCTTGCAAACAACGGCGCGTTCCTTCCCCCACGAAACAGCTCCAACATCTCCTTACCCATCCACGCCTGCCTGCTCTTCGCCAACCCTGTCTCCAAATCCGCAAATCGATCCGCTTGGATGAATATGCCCGCACCATTCGCCTTGCTGCCCTCATTGAACAACCAACACACCGCCAGCGCCACAGCTTCAGGTCGATTAATCGGCACACCCGCCTCCGCCATCTGCTTCGCGTACGCATCAGGCTGCATAGCCAACTTGGTGTTATTCGCCGTCAAGATAGGCGTAACCGTAATCGCAGGCGCAACAACCGAAATACTAATCCCCAGTTTCGCACATTCCTGCTTCAACGCCCTCATCAAGCCCACCACCCCATGTTTCGCCGCAGAATACAACGGCGCACCCGCTGAAGCCAGATACCCCGCTAGACTCGCTGTTAGCACAATAGAACCACCCTGTGCCCCGTTTTTCCGCAGGTAGTAGATGGCGAGTTTGGTCGTGGCAGCCGCGGCATTCATATCCAGCGTCAGCGTTCGGTGGTCTGGTTCCGCCAATTCCCCCTCGCTATCCAGCGCATCGTCGAAGAATTGGTCGCCGTGTTCGGCTATCCCTGCGTTGACGAATACGCAGTCTATGCGGCCGAAGCACGCGTGGCCTGCTGCGAATCCGGCGCGTTGCGAGGGCCAGGAGGTGATGTCGCAGGTGTGGATGAGCAGGTTGGAAGCCGAGTGCTTGAAGGTTGGAGGTGGGGGTTGGAGATCGAGGAGGATGAGGTTGTGGGATGGGTTTAGGGATGAGAGGAGGGTTGCTGTTGCGAGACCGATGCCGGAGGAGCCGCCGGTTATGAGGATTGTTTTGGGGGTGCTGGAGAGGGCTTTTAGGTCGGAGGGGGAGGGCGTGAAGAGTGTCATTGTGTGTGGTTTTTGTGTGGATGGTTGGTTATAGCGAGACTGAGATGGATGTGGTTTTGCTGAGGTAGTATTTGACAGGACAGAAGTTTTATAAGACAGGATCCAAGGGAGACGGGAGACGAAAGGAAGAGAAGATGGATATCGTCGATGCGGCTGAAAATATGCAGACAATCTGTTTACCTAGGTTATATGTTGTAGTTGCGGGGTTGGCCTCGGAGGTGGCTGGATTGAGTGGATTTCTTGTATAATCGCCGCTGACTCGACTGTATGTATGAAGATAGTCTTACGTGAGCTCGCATCTATCTAGCTGTATGTAGTAGTGTACTATATTCTCTTCATACTACGACGACAGTACTTTTGGTCTGCCATCAGCAACTGCTGCAGCCCTTTACATTTGTTGTGTCGAGTTTCCGAAATGCATGTGTCGTCATAATCTGACGTCTATGTTGACACATGCAGCTTCGAAAGGGTGGATAGTAGAAAACTGCGGGTGAAGTCGCGGTACTGTAGTCTCAAGACGCCGTGGAGGGAGCGACGCGGGCACGTGTCGGAGGTCTAACCGCTTTCGGAACGTACACCTGGAGTTTCGCGATCTCGAGCATACGAGCTTCAAGATTCCCAAGTGACCAGCTCACCCAACACTCAAACTCTGCGCTACAATTAGTCCTCCACGGGGAAGCAGAATCGCAGACATGTGGAAACCAACATTACTGCTCGCAGCCGCGCTGGCGGTACCGTCACAAGCGCTGCACTTCTTCATGGACGGAGCGGTCCAGAAGTGCTTCTACGAGGAATTGCCCAAGGACACGCTGGTTGTTGGTACGACATTCTCTCACATAGGAGTCTCCTGACCTGGAGACGTCGCAGAGTCAGCGGGAGAACCCACGACTAACAAACCCCAGGCCACTACCACGCCGAAGCATGGGACGACGCAACCAAGACCTACCAAACCAAGCCCGACGTCGGCGTCTTCGTCACCGTAGAGGAGACCTTTGACAACAACCACCGTATTGTTGCCCAACGGGGCAGCTCGAACGGACGCTTCACCTTCAGCGCTGCCGACAGCGGCCAACATAGGATCTGCGTAACTCCTCAGAACGTACCGAGCAGCGGCGGTGGATGGTTGAGCTCAGGAGTACACGGCACAGTCAAGTTCACGCTGGACATGGCGATTGGCGAGACGAGCAGAATCGAGAGCACGGATAAGGACAAGGTCCAGACGCTGGTGCAGAAAGTCAAGGACTTGAACTCAAGGTTGCAGGACGTAAGGAGGGAACAGGTCTTCCAGAGAGTATGTTTGGCGTCCACTCATCCCTGGGGGTACAATAGGAAGACACCGGCTAACACCTTTTGCAGGAACGCGAGGCCGAATTCCGCGACCAGTCCGAACACACCAACTCCCGCGTCGTCCGCTGGACACTCATCCAACTCGTTATTCTGGGTGTGACATGTGTCTGGCAACTATCGCATTTGCGAGCTTTCTTCATCAAGCAGAAGCTTACCTAGAATCGCCGTCGATTACACACAAATTGTTTCATTTCCGGCGGGCGCGATGATATGACAGGAGATAGGGAACAAAAGGCATACTTTACCTGGCTCGGTGAAACGCTCTTGTATGTGAGCTGTAGGATATGGCGTTGCAATAACGGGTTGGTGGATTAGCGTTTGTGTATTTTGAATGAAGCATGGCATTACGCTGAGTGTGTCTCCAGAGATGTGCGATTGCATCTTGTGTCCTGGTCGTGTATCTGAGCGGATGCTGAGTTCAAGCATTTGCATTTGGAAGTGCTAAGTCGATTCAGCACCGAGAGATTACCATACCGGCGAATGATTCACGCCCGACAGTTCTTTCCATACCGACAAGATTGCTCGCTATCGATAGCGATTCACGCGCGGCAGACCATTCACGCACGGCAAGCTTCACGCCCGGCAAGGGATTCAGCACCGGCATCTTACCATACCGGCAAAGGATTCACGCCCGACAAATCTTCCCATATCGATAAGTGACTCACCCCCGGCATCTTTACCATACCGGCAAACCATTCAGCACCGGCAACTTACTATACTGACAGCCTATTCAGCAGCGACACATTCACGCGCGGCATGTTTATCATACCGGCACATGATTCAGCACCGGCATGTTTATCATATCGGCAAACTATTCAACCCCGGCAGAACGTCCACGCACGGCAGACCATTCACGCGCGGCAGACCATCCAGCTCTATCAAACATCCGCGCCCGTCAAATCTTTACGCTCGTCAAATGTATCAGCCCCGTCACTTTCCACCACCGGCATGTTTACCATATCGGCAACCCATTCAGCACCGACGGATAAATCACGCCAGGCAAATTGCTCAGTACTAACATACACAATACCGATATGCCCATACTCTCGCCAGATTTAGCACCGGCATATGCTCCGCGGTGAGGTACTAGCATACAGACCATCTGATTCAATCCCAGCTCATCGCCAATACTAAAGACAGCCATTGCCAGCGATCTAACCTCCAAGGTACGGGTAGAGCAGCCTCTCCCGAGCCCATCGTCCCGCTCTTCGTCCGCTGCAAGTTCCCGCCGTTTCCGCCCCCACGCAGCCTCGCGCAGCCCAGCCTTGGTTCAGCCTCGTCCAAACCAATGGAACGAGTTGGTACTTATCGTGTGGCTGTCAATCCCAAGCTCACATCAGTTCACTTACCCATATCAGATGGTTCATGATGCAAACGTACTGCTATCTGACCGATGTGTGCAACAATAAGACGCCCCTCGACCTGAAATGCGGCTCAAGAAAGCGCCATCTTTGCAACTTGGCCCGATGTTCATGAACGATGAGGTCCCATAAAGTGGCTTACCGCGCAAGAAATTACTCAATATATGACAACACAAGTCTAGATATTTACAAGCATAATTCAACTGGATGAACACCACCCTGGTACATGGCTGGGTTGCCTCGCCAAATGAACGCGGCACAATCGATATCATCTGGAGCTGCGTCGTCACTGTCTTTTTGTGCAGTTGGTCTGTCGTTTTCCTGAATATACCCGAAAAGCACGACTTCCGATCGTATCTGTCGACGAAGCTGTCATGGGTTGCCTTCACCATCTTCTTTCCTGAGATCCTTGCGTCGTTCGCCCAGGTCCAATATCTCTCTGCCCGACACTCTGTGGCCGCGTTTCGTAAACTCGGGTATCCTGAATGGTCCATGACGCACGCCTTCTTCGCCGACATGGGTGGCTTTGTGCTTGATGCCCCAGACTATCCACGCTTTCCCATCAACGCCCACCAGGTTCACTACCTTGTAAAAAATGGCTTCCTCGACTTCCCCACGATAAAACGCGAAACTCTTCAGGACAAGAACAAAGCAGACGCTTTCGTACGTATCCTTACATCCGTTCAGATACTCTGGTATGCACTTCAATGCATCGGTCGTGCTATTCAGCACTTGGCTGTCTCGATGCTCGAGCTCGATGTCGTAGCCATCGTGCTGTGTACTTTTCCGACATTCTACTTCTGGTTCCATAAGCCCCTCGACGTTGACACGACGGAGACATTACATCTCGTAGGATCACTCCGACTAAGAGATGTACTGGCTTTAGCAGGGGACGCAGCCAAGCAGCCTTTCAATCTCACTCCACTCGACTTCATCAATCCGCCTCCAGATCCGTACCAAATTCTCGATCCTATAATGTGGGGCTTCGAGCATTTGATTCCAGTTGGTAACCATTCAAAAAATGTCCCGATAACTCGATTTAAAGACACCTCGCGTGCAAATCCCGGGAAGGTGACCCCATCCGAGATTGGGGTTTCTACGATCATATCACTCACTTTCATCTTAATTCACTTTGTTGCGTGGGACTTCAACTATCCAACGCAGTTAGAACGAGATCTCTCGCGAGGCGCCTGCCTACTACTTATCGGATGTGGATTCTCTTTCGGTAACCTTTGGATCTTGATGAACTGGCAACTCCCCAATCTTTGTCGATTGGCAGGTATTGCGCAAGTCAATACCGTTACAGAATTCATCGATGAGATACATCCGTTCTTCCAGTACGCTCTCAACGTGACGCATATGGGGTCATATGGTATCGCGCGGACTTTTATCATTGTAGAAGGTTTTGCTGGTCTTAGGGCCCTTCCTGCGAGTAGCTTCCGTAGTGTGGAATGGTCGGACCTGTTGCCCCATATATAGTGAAGGCAGAGATAGAATACCTCATGCGACTATGATGGTGACGACTACCATGGAGTTTCGACATATCTGGGTATGATACCATCCATAGAAAATATATATACCACTGTTACTGAAAACAAGGTCCCGATGTATAAATCACAGACAATTGCCCGGCAAGGGATTTTCGTTCACAGGTATTCAGCCTTTGCATATGTTGGCGATGCATAGTCTTGATTGAACCACATTGTATGTGGTGTATGGACACCAATGTCGGAAAGAGAGACTGAACTGCGTAATGCTATAGCAATGATCATATTCAAACCGTAACACATCAATCTGCCTGACAGAGACTAACCGTATGCTGTGTTCTTTCTGTATGGTCTGAAATGTCGATGTCTCCGTCAGTATCAGAGACGTACGTGCTGTCGAACAGCGCTCAAATCAGCCACAGCTGAGAAGACGCACCATCACGGTCCATCACTCTGCATCACAGATCTCCGTACATCTTCCATCAAAATACATGCGCGCAATATATTTGCACCGCGGAATAATCATGCACGCGCGCATCCATAATACCAACTCGAACCAATCGTTTCACGACCATGAACAAGCAGCGCAACATGATCAGTAAACACTGACGCGACAGTTCCCTTCCGATGACTTCACATCATATAACCCTCGCGCATAAACTCGCAACAAGATATTTACCCAAAACAACACGCAGCACGCTCCGCGGAACATCGGATGTAGTCAAAGCCAAACAGTGGATAACGGGCGTCATGCGCGTGGAGCCGAACAAACCTTGAAAGGGTCACCGCTTAACCCACGTACCCATGGACGTGACGATCTTCTAGCGTAAGAACAATGACACCTTCTTTCCAGGGCGAGTGAAAACCTTCCGCGGCACACGTCTTGGACGCATGAACCATTTCCGTCAAAGATGTTCCTCGCTATCTGACAACTCTGACGTCGACAGGTCCCGAACCGGATTTCCCCAGAACTCTAAACACACACAGACGACGTCAACAGCCGTGTCTTGTCAGGTCCGACCAGCGCCAACGCCAGCGCCAACAACGACGCGACCTTGGTTTTCTGAAACAAGCCATGCGAACTCTACAGCCGCACCAGCGAGATGTGTGAAGTTCGTTCCTGCCGTCAAAGCCGTTACTATCGATACTACTACCAAATCGCTTGCGCGCGATCCCCAGCGCTCTTCTCAGCCCTACATGACGTCCTGCAGTCCAACCGCATCGGCCGGTTCCCCCAGCACGCCAAAAACCCACCTAACGTGCGTCCCACAATACTCTCAGCGCAATTCCGATAGGTCAAGTCACTGTGGTACACACGCACCCACAAGCCAGGGCCCGGACGCTCTGCACCTCGTCGTTCGTGGGCAGACAAGGCCCAGATCCGACGTTTTTCGGTGGAGCCCACATGCGTTGGGTCACGTCTGCTCGGTGAAAGTGTACCGAGCGGAAATAGAACCACGCTATTTATGTTAAACTGTTGTTTTAATAAGCTATTTTACTATTAAACCTTATAATAAAGAGAAGTAGAAGAGTTATAAGAAGTACTTCCTATATTATTATAATATTATCTTAATATAATAAGTTTTTAATAGGTTATAAGCCTAAGTTCTTTTATTACTAAGATAACAATATTAAATTCTTTCTAGATATCTAGCAATAACCTAAATATTAAAGACCTTACTATATATAAGATTACTAAACTTACTAGATAGTAAAACTTTACTAAATAAAAATAAAATATTAAGATTATTATATAGTATTTAAATATATAAAACTAAATTAATAGTATATAAATATAAATTAAGAAACCTTAGATACTACTCTATTTATAAGAAGCTTTTAATACTATATAATATAATACTTTTATATAAGTAAATTCTAAAAATACTAATAATATTTTTATTCTACTAATAATATTATCTAAAAAAGTAGAATTCTACTAAATAATAATAATAAAGAATACTAAAAAGAAATATAATATAGTACTTATATAATATTACTAGTATTAAAAGAAGAAAAGTAAGGCTCTAATACTTTTACGTTTTTATATCTTAGACTTTATTTAATTAGTCTTAAATAAATATACTAAACTAAATATTACTTTCTAGTATATTAAGAAATAGTACTAACTTAGTAATTATTAGAATCTCTAGATTTTCTACTAAGAAATTAAATTACTTAGTCTATAATACTATAAAAATCTTAATAACTTCTTTAGTTAGCTAAAAAACTATATTATATATCTTTAAGAACTTAATAAAATATATAATAATATAGCTATTTAAGCTAAGATTTTTAGATTACTAACTTCTAAGTATAAAGAGATAACTTATATTATAAATCTACTCTATAATTAATAAAGAGTATAGTAGCCTATACTAGATAATATTAAGTAATAACTATAAGATACTAAGATTAATATTAAGTAAACTAAATACTTAAAAAAAGATAATAAGAATAAAAAAAATAAAATAACTAATATTAACAAGAACTAAAATAAGAATACTAAGTATCTAGTTAAAGAATATTAAAGCTATAACTACTTAGAAGATAAGTATTTTATTAAATATTCTAAACTAAAACCTAAGTAGATAAAACTTAAAGAGAAGAATTATAAGAAAAATAATAATTAATCTAGTAAGATAGTAAGCTTTATATTTAACTCTAATAAGAATAATACTAAAATAGTAATCTAGTAAGCTATTAAAGCTAAGTAAAATAATAGTACGTAACTTACTAATTAAGAATAATCTAATATTATAATCTCTTATAGTAAATATCTTATATTCTATATTAATAGTTACTTATTAGACTAGTCTAATAATACTAACACTACTTCTTAATAATATATATCTATTAATAACTCTAATATTTTATAGTAAGTACTAGTTAATAATACTATATCTTTTTCTTTATTATAACCTATAATTAAGTTTATATCTACGTTTTATCTTAATCTTAAAATACTTAATAAATAAATTCTACGTATCTATAGATTAAAGATAACTAAAATTAATTAGAATAATAATTCTAATACTCTTATTCTAGTATCTATTATAGACGTATTCTATAAAACTATATAGTTCTTTAAGTTTTCTTATAGTTAAGCCTTCTACTTAAACTATTATTTATCTAACTAGCCTAATATATATAATATAACGTCTAATAATAATACTAATACTAATAACTCTAATAAAACTAGTATATAACTATCTCTAATATTTTATAGTTTATTAGCTAACTAACCTTATAAGTTAGAGTATAAACTAAAGAATACTATAGAGATTAGAGATAGACTAAGTTTAAAGAAATAATTAGAGTTAAAAATAGTAGTTAGCTTAGCTCTTATTAATAATATATATAACTCTCTTATTAATAAATAGATTATTAACTCTAGTGTAAGTATATATCTATATAATAATAAGAAATAGTTTACTAAGTTTATAGATCTACTAATTAAGTTAATTAATATAGCTAATACTAAATTTTACCTTAATATTACTAGTAGTAGTATAGTACTTATTAACGTTTACACTAAGTAAAAACTTTAGAACTAAGTTATACTAAGTAATATTCTTTACGCACTTAATACTATATATAATTTATTATCTATATTATAGATTACTAGTAAAGAAGCTAAAAAATATATTAATAATACTATATTTAATATTATTTATAATAATAAACTTTTTATAAACTCTATAGTTTATAATAGTCTCTTTTACCTTAATATATACTATAATAGTATATTTAATATTATTAATACTATATTTACTAATATTACACTAGCTAATACGTTACTAACTAATATTAATAATAATTATCTAACTAAAGACGTTAACTCTATTAATAAGAATAGTACTAATAAAGCTAATAATTAACTAACTAAGAATACTAAATCTATTAATAATCTAGATACTACACTAATATCTAGCTTTAACTTTAATAACTATATATAGGTACTTTATTAAGATCTTAGATATATAAGTTTTAATTCTATAAGTAGACTTATTAATATATCTAAAGAGATAATAGTATTAAAGAAAGAAATTAAAGTATATATAGATTAGAGTTACTCTATCTATAAAGTTACTACTTCTATAGTTTATATACCTAGAGATTCTACTAGCTATATAAGTACTATACTAGAAAATCTTCTTTATATTAATATCTAGAGACTATATAGTATTAAGAAAACTAATAGTATTAGTTATATACTTAATATAATTAATAACTTTAGCTACTATTAGTAGAGTTAGCCTATAAAGAAAGCTAAATCTAATAAGTATATTATTATATTACTTAAGAAACTTTATATAGTAGAAAAACTTACTATTTATAATATTAAGATAGATAATACTATTATTACTAAAGTACTTAAAAAATACTATACTAATAAAGGTATCTATATTACTTCTAGCGCACTATATTAATATTAATAAAATAGAGTTATAGAGTAAGCTATTAGAACTATATAGAATTAATTAGCTATTATTCTTAGTAATACTTAATTAGGTATATTATAATTTATTCTTAGTACTATTTTCTAAATTATTAATGTTTAAACTTAATAAGCTTTTATAAACACTAATCTATTAGAAAAGCTATAGCTAGAAGTTTAGATATATACTATCTATATTAAAAACTATACTCTAATATACGTACTTAAATCTAAGAAGATACTATATAAAGTAATATATAACTAGAGACTAAATATTACTAATATAAGACTATAGAGTATATAAGCCTATATATCTATTTCTTAAATAGCTAGGTTAACCTTTTATAGTAGTACTTAACCTATAATATATAAATTATATTTATATATATAGCTAGGTTACTTTATAGACTATAAAGGTAATACTAATATATAAGTCTAGAACTCTAATAAGAATAAAATATAGTAAGTTAATATAGTAGATATTATATATAGTAAATAAATAAATAACTCTTAAATAGAAAGTACGTAGATTACTTAATTATAACGTATTA